AGAGAGAGAGAGAGAGAGAGAGAGAGAGCTGTCTGCTCTCTCCTGAGGCTCTAACAAAGGCCTTCCCTGACCCGTCAGGGGCAAGGCCTGCCAGGGAGGGGTGCAGGGGTGCCTGGCTGGCCCTCATTTGGCCCTTGGCTGCCTGCATGGCTGGAAGCAGGCATCTTGCTGCGGTGGTGGAATTGGCAAAGCAGTCTCCTTTCATTCCATGGCTTGCCTTTCTGCCAGGCAGCCGGAACCGCCACACACCGCTCCTCCGTTCATCCAAGAAACACAAATAAATAAGGCAGCAGAGAGAGACGTAGCTTCCTTCGGCTAGGTCGCCAGCCCACCCCCTGCTGACTCACGGTAGAGAAGGTGGAGCCTGCACTCTGAACAGGGCCCTCTGGGGTCACCACAGCTGGCTTGAACCATCAGGCTACATGCCCCCTCCTCCCCGCCCCCCCGCAGGTTTGGGTCTGCCTGAGATTCTGGGTCTCCGGCCTCAGTTAAGATGTGACAACTTCCCTGACATCAGACAAGGCCTGGCTTCCTGGACCTGCGTATGGAGTGACAGAATAAGGGCTCCCCTGTTCCCAGCCTCAACTCTTGTCATCACCAGGTGGGGCCTAGGACAAGAGACCTCCTCAGTATGTTTCTGGTCCCTCCCTTCTTCTACCCAAGGGCCTATGAGGTTGACTCCCGGGGAGACTCTAGGCCCAGGGTGGCTGTGACCCTGGTGTGGCAAAGACCCTAAATGGTAGTACAGCCAACAGGTGGCTTCCCACTGTGGGCCCACCCTACAGTGACCTTCTCTGGCTCTCTCTCAGGCTGTCATCCTGACGCCTGCTCCTGTCACTCCCTCTGCTACTGACTAGAAGTCAAGCCCTGCGGCAGCTCCTTGGACCTGGGTCCTCCCCACCAAGTCCCTGAGCAGGACAGAAGGCTCCCATGGCCCCTCAGTGAGGTTTGCTTCCCTCGAGGGCCACATTCTGGCTTTTGTGGACTGATCAGGTTCCCCGGGGCCTCATCCCAAGAACAGGCCCTGGGCTTAGAGCCCTCAGGAACAGATTCCGGTCCCAACCAATTGGGAGGCCCTGCCCCTGCCTGGAAAACCCCATTCCTGGCTGGGAGGCTCTGACCTTGGCTGACAAGCCCTGTCCCATCTGGGAAGCCAGGCCTAATAAGGTCTCATCCCATCCCCTCCTCCTCTGCAAGGAGTCTGCCCAGAGTTACCCTTCCCTCCTCCGCCTGTATTGACCTCACTTTGCTTCTAGGTCTGGCTGCCTCATCTCCCTTAGAAGAGGTGCTGACTTGATGGTGAGGAGCAGGGCCCAAGCTGCCTGTATGGGCTCACTTCACAGCCTCAGAGGGCCATGCTCTCATCTGTGGTAATGGCGGGTATCAAAAAGATGGCTACTTACGAAGGAGGATGTCCTAGGGCAGCACCCTCCACATCTGTCTGCAAGGTGTGTGGGGGATGCTCCTGACATCTGACAGGTAGAGGCTGGGGATAGTCCTACAAGGCCTAGGTGATCTCACACCAAAGAATGACCAGACCCCAGCATCAGGGTGTCTTATGGGTAATCCCTGCCTGGGCCTCTCCCCAAAGGTCTGCCTCTAAGGGGCCTTCCAGAGTCCTAGGATCACGGTGGTCACCACTCTCCTCATGTGTCAGACTAGCTGTGGTTGGGAGTCCCTGTGGCCTGCACCTGCACCCAGGATGGACAGCACAGAGACTCACAGATGTTGTACCCCAGCTGTGCTTCTGAAGGCCGAGGAATGAAAACTCAAGCTAAGCCCTGGAGCGTCACTGTTCCCACTCCCTCTGGGGGATGGCCCTTGTACTGGCAGCCAGCAGCTACAGCCAGGCCCCTGTGCCTGCTTTGTGGGAAACCCTGTGTGAGCAGATTATAGAAACCTGTGGGCTCCTAAGGGAGTCTCCCAGACCCCAGGTGCCAGACCTCGAGGAAGTCTGGTTACGGGGCTTTCACGGGCTCCTGTAGCACCCTGACCTCCCAACCTCCGTCCTGGTCCCATACTTCTTCCTCCTGGAGTTAGCCCGTGGTCTCACAGAAGGCTTAGGCCAAATTCCAGGCTTGGTTCCAGCCTGGCTGTGACGGACGGGGGCTTACTGAGCTACTTCACACACAGGATTATTCCGAGGCCCAAGCAGATGGCAGGATATTCAGGGGGAAGCACCGAGCGCGCATCTGAGAAAGGAGCTCTCAGGAGCTGGCCGCGGTGGGAGGAGGAGGGGTTTGGATGGTAATCAGAGAGAGTCTGCATCTCCTGCCCACCCAAAGGAAAGAGGTACCTTCCCCAGCGTGAGCAGACTCTGGTAGCGAAACCTCAAGCTCCCGCGTCAGAAAGAGGTGGAGGCTCCGTTCCGCAGCCCCGCTGCCCCCAGCACTACCCTGGATCTTATCTACAGTCACTCCATTATACCCCTATCCAGTCCCTCATTCCTACCAGGGGGGAAAAATATGCTTGGACACCAGGAGTAAGCCTTGTGTGTACTGGGAAATGATTTGAAACTTCACATAATGCCAAGGAAGATAAGAATGCCTGACCATTGACCCATTTTAGAGATTCTAGTCTATGCAGCTGGAAAACAGAGAGAGAGAGAGAGAGAGAGAGACAGAGAGAGAGAGAGAGAGAGAGAGAGAGAGAGAAGGAGGAGGAG